TTAAGATAACATAATGTTTATTTAGGTAAAAGTACATAGTCAAAATGAGTTACAAACAGAATGTTGGATTTTTAGATAAAGCTAATACATACTATGCCTCAAGCCACTAATATATGCAGCGCTGGCCAGACCCGACCAATAATTCAAACGTCAGAGTAGTAAAATTGTTAGGTATATTGACCAGGCCTCCAGGTTCGTGGGCACAGCTGCTTGCAGCCTGACGTATGAATCACAGCCAGGTTGATCAGGTATCCTTTCGGGGTGTTTATCAAGTACTCTTATGGTGTTGGAGTGTTGAAAAGTCTTAGTCCCTTGATGTTGACAGACTTGTCTCTCAGCGTACCAATTGCACCTTTGCTTTTCAACGGGGCTATTTTGCACATCCTGCCATGCCTCCTGGACTTGTGTGGAGTTATTTCCGTGTGTGTGTGTGTGTGTGTGTGTGTGTGTGTGTGTGTGTGTGTGTGTGTGTGTGTGTGTGTGTGTGTGTGTGTGTGTGTGTGTGTACTCACCTAGTTGTGTCTGCAGGATCGAGCATTGACTCTTGGATCCCGCCTTTCGAGCATCGGTTGTTTACAGCAATGACTCCTGTCCCATTTCCCTATCATACCTGGTTTTAAAATTATGAATAGTATTTGCTTCCACAACCTGTTCCTGAAGTGCATTCCATTTTCCCACTATCACGCTAAAAGAAAACTTCCTAACATCTCTGTGACTCATCTGAGTTTCAAGCTTCCATCCATGTCCCCTCGTTCTGTTACTATTCCGTGTGAACATTTCGTCTATGTCCACTCTGTCAATCCCTCTGAGTATCTTATACGTTCCTATCATGTCCCCCCCCTCTCCCTTCTTCTTTCTAGTGTCGTAAGGCACAGTTCCCTCAGGCGCTCCTCATACCCCATCCCTCGTAGCTCTGGGACGAGTCTCGTTGCAAACCTCTGAACCTTTTCCAGTTTCATTATATGCTTCTTCAGATGGGGACTCCATGATGAGGCGGCATACTCTAAGACTGGCCTTACGTAGGCAGTGTAAAGCGCCCTAAATGCCTCCTTACTTAGGTTTCTGAATGATGTTCTAACTTTTGCCAGTGTAGAGTACGCTGCTGTCGTTATCCTATTTATATGTGCCTCAGGAGATAGATTAGGTGTTATGTCCACCCCCAGGTCTCTTTCACGCGTCGTTACAGGTAGACTGTTCCCCTTCATTGTGTATTGTCCCTTTGGTCTCCTATCTCCTAGTCCCATTTCCATAACTTTACATTTGCTCGTGTAGTAGCCATTTCTCTGACCATCTCTGCAACCTGTTCAGGTCCTCTTGGAGGATCCTGCAATCCTCATCTGTCACAACTCTTCTCATCAACTTTGCGTCATCCGCAAACATCGACATGTAGGACTCTACGCGTGTAAACATGTCGTTAACATATACAAGAAATAGAATTGGTCCCAGCACCGATCCTTGTGGTACTCCACTTGTTACTGTTCGCCAGTCGTACTTCTCGCCCCTTACCGTAACTCTTTGGCTCCTTCCTGTTAGGTAGTTCCTTATCCATGCTAGGACCTTTCCCCCACCCCCGCCTGCCTCTCGAGCTTGAACAGCAGTCTCATGTGCGGTACTGTATCAAAGGCTTTTTGGCAGTCCAGAAATATGTGTGTGTGTGTGTGTGTGTGTGTGTGTGTGTGTGTGTGTGTGTGTGTGTGTGTGTGTGTGTGTGTGCAGGTTTAGAGCCAATCCTTCTAATATTTTCCGTGTAAATGTTTGTTTCTCACCTGCACTCTAGTGAATATAGGTTTAACATTTTCAAGCAATCCTGGTAATTTAGAAGTTTTATTGAGTGGATTCGGGCAGTAAAAGTCTTCTGCACGCTCTCCAGGTCAGCAATCTCTAAGGCTTTGAATGGGGATGTCATTGTGTAACAATATTTCACCCTAGAGAGAACTAGTGAGAGTGAATATAATTCCAAGCCTAACTACAGAGGCACACATAAATAGGTTAACATCAGCGCCACACTATACAATGGCAAAAGTCTGAATATCGTTCAGGAATCTAAATAAGGAGCTATTTACATTTTTATTTATATATATATATATATATATATATATATATATATATATATATATATATATATATATATATATATATATATTATATATATATATATATATATTATATATTTATTATATACACATATATACAAGAGTTCTTACATTCTTGTACAGCCACTAGCACGCATAGCGTTTCAGGCAAGTCCTTAATCCTAATTTTCCCCGGAATACGACCCGCCAAATAGTTTTAACCAACAGGTACACATTTTACTGTTGGGTAAACAGAGGCTACAGTTAAGGATTGGCGCCTAGTAAATCCTACCCCCGGCTAGAATACGAACCCAGGACAAAGCGCTCGCGAAACGCCAGGTGAGTGTCTTACCACTTCGCCAAGGTGACCCTCCCTCCCTGTATAAGTTTGAGTTAGGTTCGGCTCCCCCCCCCCCCCCTAGGGGAGTGTTTCCGGGTGCCTTTGGGTGCCTTGGATACATGGCTCTACACCGCCAGTATGTGTGTCAGTATGAGTGATTAAGTGCTTAATTGCACACTAGTTTCTCTATCAGCTATCTCACCCTGTCAGAGTAAAAGAGACAGGTGTGTGTGTGTGTGTGTGTGTGTGTGTGTGTATATATATATTTATATATATATATATAATATATATATATATATAATAAATTTGTGTGTAGGTATATGTATGTGTATAAAGTATATGTGGAAGCTGATCAGAATTACATTTCACCTTTGTAAATGCACATTAATGACACTATGTAAAAGACACATCAAACACTTTATGTAGGGCATACGTAAATCTGTGTGTCTATGTATTTACGTATGTAGGTTAGCTTAGCATTTTAAAAGCACCGAATCACCTTTTGTGGTTGAGTGTTCAATAAACCCTTGAACTATATGTTTAACACATCTCTAACCCTGTCCATGGAGGACAGAAGAAAATGTATATATGCTGGTTAGCATTGTAAATGTGTGGCCACGTCCGGGTAGAAAATAATAATAATAATAATAATAATAATAATAATAATAATAAAAGTATGAGGCCCATCGTGGCATGTGCATCTCACCAAAATAGGAAAACTAGAAAAGGTTCAAAGGTTTGCAAGGAGGTTCATCCTGAAAAATGATGGATTGGTTACGAAAAAAGACAGGAGAGAGCTAGATCTGACATCGCTGGAGAAGACAGACGTGATAGAGACTTATAACATACTAAGAGGAATTGACAGAATGGAAAAACCAATGTTAAAAATAAATTCCAATGGAACAAGAGGCCAGGGATGGAAGACTTAAGAAACAGATGAGTCAGAGACGTTAGAAAGTTGTCTTTAGAATAGGAGTAGCGGGAAAGTGGAATGAAGTAAAAGAGTAGGTTGTAGGAAGCAAACTCTATCCATGTTTTGAGAAGTAAACACGAAAGAGAAATAAGGTAGGAGCCATTGTATTAGACAACCAGCGTTTAGGAAGGTGGGGTCCAAGAACTAACTCGTCTATTGGTGCCTGCTCGATCTTGCAGGCACCAATAGACGAGTACACACACACACACACACACACACACACACACACACACACACGCGCGCGCGCGCGTACGTCAAAAACAGACAAGAGTGCGAAGAACAGTCTAGCAGTACGTGATGAAGAGGAGACAGATTCCTTAACCAGAAAAGGAGAAAGACCTGGGAGCGGACATAACCCCATATCTGATACCAGAAGCCCACAGGCCCACAGTAGCAGAATAACAGCAGTTGTATATGGCACAATGGTCAACATCCGTGTATCCTTCAAGTACTTGGACAAAGGGACTTTCTGGACCCTATGTAGCAGCAAAGGTGAGACCCACTTTTGAATATGCAACAAACATTGAAGCCTAACCTGAAAAAAAGATAAGGAGAAACTAGAAATACTTCAAAGATATGCATCTAGACTCGTTCCTGAGCTGAAGGTATTGAGTAATGAGTATAGACCAAGAGAACTGGACCTTACCACACTGGATGAAACGAGAGATTAGGGGGGGGGGACATGATAGTAACATATAAGATTGTAGGAGAAACTGACAGAGTAGACAAAGCAGCTTTCTTCATAGACTGAAACAGAATGAGGGGTCATAGATGGAAACTGGAGAATCAATTGAGTCAGAAAACCCTCGTCAAGAAGTTCTTCAGTGTTAGAACTGTCAATAAAAGGAACAGGTTACACGTAGAAGCCGTCGAAGCTGATTACAGTTTATAAATGTAAAAATGAAAAAAGCGTGAGAAAACAGGTTATTGCCTTGATCTAAGAACATTCGCAAGGCGGGGCTAGGAGCCAGGCTCAACCCTGTTAGCACATCTAGGCGAGTACAACCCCCCCCCCTCCTACCCACAACATCAGCTTTCGTGCACTCCCATCATAACACCCCCACACACTAAATATTGTGGGAGGTGGACGCCCACACTTGCAAATCAGGAGTAGGTGTTGGGAGAGGTATGAGTTATACTTGGGTCGTGCTAATGGTTCCTCCCGCCACCACCAGGTGAGGGATATTTACCGTCCTCTTACACTCAGGGACCATGTTGATGTGGCTCTGTGTTCTCCCTGGCTCCATTAGTCAAGCTCTGGCCCCACTGCCTCTATGGCCCATCTCATTCCTCACTCTCTGGTGTAAGTATGAGCTGTGCCTGGTGTCATATTAGTGGTGTGGCTCTGTGCTGCGTCTGGCCACAGTGCTTGAGGTGTGACAGCCTTCCTCTCTGCCTTATATCTTGTCGTTCCGGGGATCAACGCCCCCCAGCAGCGTAGCCTCGTACCAAGTCTCCTGTGAACGACCTCATCTGCTGAACTCGTAGTGTTTGTAGCTTTGAGTTCACAGCTCGGGTGATATAGAACGCCGAAGAAACGCGTTCGTGGCGTTAAAATGCCTTTGACTCTGTGCACTGGCGTTGACTTTCCACTACTACGAGGGCGCTGCTCTGTATGTGTGTGTGTGTGTGTGTGTGTGTGTGTGTGTGTGTGTGTGTGTGTGTGTGTGTGTGTGTGTGCGCGCGTGTGTGTGTGTGCGCGTGTGTGTGTGTGCGCGCGTGTGTGTGTGTGCGCGTGTGTGTGCGTGCGTGCGCCCCCCCCTCACACACCCCCACGAACACCAACAGGCATGCAATGTGTATGTGCTTGCAAAATACATTACCTGAAACGTGCATGTGCGTGTATTCGTCACGAGACACGAAACATCTGTATTGTGCTCTACTCCTTCCGTGTGTGTGTAATTATACTAAGGAAGAGATAAGACGAGGACGTTTGACGCGTTCTGTGACCGGTGACGATTAATTCGCATGCAGCAGGCGGCTATGTTTTTATATCATGCAATTGGCTTGGTGGGTAATTACGGGATAATTAAAGGGCATCGTCTACAACAGTATGAGTATGAGGCACGAGTATGAGTATCTGTAGCTGGCAAGCTTGTGTCTGTGGTGTTAGGGTGCTAGTGATGGTGTCGTGCTTTGTCGCAGTGAGAAGATGGTGCACTGATAGATCTGCCGGTGTGGAGCAGGCCAGAGTAGTGCCGCCCGAGAGAGAGGGAGAGGGAGAGAGAGAGAGAGGGAGGAAGAGAGAGCGGGGCGTGAGGGCGCATAATACCCTGCTGGCCCGTGGCACCAAAACAAACTCTGGTTCCGGCCGCTTGTCACACGAGATGTACACAGAGCAGACTTCCCGGGGGTAGGAAGATGGGGGAGGTACAGGAGAAAAGAAAGGTTGAGAGAGGGGAGGGGGGGGGGCAAGTGTAAAGGATAGGTTATGGAAATGAAGAGAGAGTTTAGTGAGAGAGCAGAAGAGAGCAGAAGGGAGGGGCAGAGAAAGGAGACGGGAAAGGGGACAAGGCTAATGTTAATTTTTGTTATTGTTTTTACTAACATAATTAGTTACACCTGCATTGATGGAGTTTTCTAAAAAAAAAATTGCTGGACCAACCGGGCTGTGGTGGGTATGTGGGCCTGCGGGCCGCTCCAAGCAACAGCCTGGTGGACCAAACTCTCACAAGTCAAGTCTGGCCTCGGGCCGGGCTTGGGGAGTAGAAGAACTCCCAGAACCCCATCAACCAGGTATCAACCAGGTACCACTGGACGTGTGTGAAGGGTTGCATAGTGTGTCAAGACCTGGCAATGTGGTTAAAAATCCCCTCCTGGACGGATGGTTAGTCACACAGGGACATGTGATCAGTAGTCTGCACTGGCATACCACCCACCCCAGCACCAGTCTTTCCCCCCCCCCCTTGACCACCCCAGCAACAGTCTTCCCCCCCCCCATTGACCACCCCAGCAACAGTCTTCTTCCCCCCCCTAGACCACCCCAGGAACAGTCTTCTCCCCCCCCTCGACCACCCCAGCACCAGTCTTCTCCCCCCCTTGACCACCCCAGCAACAGTCTTCTCCCCCCCTCGACCACCCCAGCACCAGTCTTCTCCCCCCCTTGACCACCCCAGCAACAGTCTTCTCCCCCCCCCCTCGACCACCCCAGCACCAGTCTTCTCCCCCCCTTGACCACCCCAGCAACAGTCTTTTCCCCCCCTTAACCACCCCAGCAACAGTCTTCTCCCCCCCTTGACCACCCCAGCAACAGTCTTCTCCCCCCCCTTGACCACCCCAGCAACAGTCTTCTCCCCCCCCCCCCTTGACCACCCCAGCAACAGTCTTCTCCCCCCCCTTTGACCACCCCAGCAACAGTCTTCTCCCCCCCCCTTGACCACCCCAGCACTAGTCTTCTCCCCCCCTTGACCACCCCAGCAACAGTCTTCTCCCCCCCCTTGACCACCCCAGCAACAGTCTTCTCCCCCCTTGACCACCCCAGCACTAGTCTTCTCCCCCCCTTGACCACCCCAGCAACAGTCTTCTCCCCCCCCTTGACCACCCCAGCAACAGTCTTCTCCCCCCCTTGACCACCCCAGCACTAGTCTTCTCCCCCCCTTGACCACCCCAGCAACAGTCTTCTCCCCCCTCCCTTGACCACCCCAGCAACAGTCTTCTCCCCCCCTTTACCACCCCAGCAGCAGTCTTCTCTCCCCCCCTCAACCACCCCAGCACCAGTCTTCTCCCCCCCTTGACCACCCCAGCAAGTCTTTCCCCCCCCCCCTTGACCACCCCAGCAACAGTCTTTCCCCCCCCCTTGACCACCCCAGCAACAGTCTTCTCCCCCCCTTGACCACCCCAGCACCAGTCTTCTCCCCCCCCTCTACCACCCCAGCAACAGTCTTCTCCCCCCCTTGACCACCCCAGCAACAGTCTTCTCCCCCCCCCTTGACCACCCCAGCAACAGTCTTCTCCCCCCTCGACCACCCCAGGAACAATCTTCTCCCCGCCCACCCCAGCACCATTCTTCTCCCCCCCTTGACCACCCCAGCAAGTCTTCTCCCCCCCCCCTTGACCACCCCAGCAACAGTCTTCTCCCCCCCCTTTGACCACCCCAGCAACAGTCTTCTCCCCCCCCTCGACCACCCCAGCACCAGTCTTCTCCCCCCCCCCTTGACCACCCCAGCAAGTCTTCTCCCCCCCTGCCCACCCCAGCAACAGTCTTCTCCCCCCCCCCTTGACCACCCCAGCAACAGTCTTCTCCCCCCCCTTGACCACCCCAGCAACAGTCTTCTCCTCCCCCCTTGACCACCCCAGCAACAGTCTTCTCCCCCCCTTGACCACCCCAGCAACAGTCTTCCCCCCCTTGACCACCCCAGCAACAGTCTTTCCCCCCCCCCTTGACCACCCCAGCAACAGTCTTCTCCTCCCCCCTTGACCACCCCAGCAACAGTCTTCTCCCCCCTTGACCACCCCAGCAACAGTCTTCTCCTCCCCCCTTGACCACCCCAGCAACAGTCTTCTCCCCCCCCCCTTGACCACCCCAGCAACAGTCTTCTCCCCCCCCTTGACCACCCCAGCAACAGTCTTCTCCCCCCCCTTGACCACCCCAGCAACAGTCTTCTCCCTCCCTTGACCACCCCAGCAGCAGTTTTCTTCCCCCCCCCCTTGACCACCCCAGCAGCAGTTTTCTTCCCCCCCCCCTTGACCACCACAGCAGCAGTCTCCTCCCTCCCCTTGACCACCCCAGCAACGGTCTTCTCCCCCCCACCCTTGACCACCCCAGCAACAGTCTTCTCCCCCCCTTGACCACCCCAGCAGCAGTCTTCTCCCCCCCTTGACCACCCCAGCAACAGTCTTCTTCCCCCCCTTGACCACCCCAGCAAGTCTTCTCTCCCCCCTTGACCACCCCAGCAACAGTCTTCTTCCCCCTTGACCACCCCAGCAACAGTCTTCTCCCCCCCCCCTTGACCACCCCAGCAACAGTCTTCTCCCCCCCTTGACCACCCCAGCAACAATCTCCCCCCCCCCCTTGACCACCCCAGCAACAGTCTTCTCCCCCCCCCCTCGACCACCCCAGCACCAGTCTTCTCCCTCCCCCTCGACCACCCCAGCAACAGTCTTCTCCCCCCCTTGACCACCCCAGCACCAGTCTTCTCCCCCCTTGACCACCCCAGCAGCAGTTTTCTTCCCCCCCCCCTTGACCACCCCAGCAGAAGTTTTCTTCCCCCCCCCCTTGACCACCACAGCAGCAGTCTCCTCCCTCCCCTTGACCACCCCAGCAACAGTCTTCTCCCCCCCTTGACCACCCCAGCAGCAGTCTTCTCCCCCCTTGACCACCCCAGCAACAGTCTTCTTCCCCCCCTTGACCACCCCAGCAACAGTGTTCTCTCCCCCCTTGACCACCCCAGCAACAGTCTTCTTCCCCCTTGACCACCCCAGCAACAGTCTTCTCCCCCCCCCTTGACCACCCCAGCAACAGTCTTCTCCCCCCACCCTTGACCACCCCAGCAACAGTCTTCTCCCCCCCTTGACCACCCCAGCAGCAGTCTTCTCCCCCCCTTGACCACCCCAGCAACAGTCTTCTTCCCCCCCTTGACCACCCCAGCAAGTCTTCTCTCCCCCCTTGACCACCCCAGCAACAGTCTTCTTCCCCCTTGACCACCCCAGCAACAGTCTTCTCCCTCCCCCTCGACCACCCCAGCAACAGTCTTCTCCCCCCCTTGACCACCCCAGCACCAGTCTTCTCCCCCCCTTGACCACCCCAGCAACAGTCTTCTCCCCCCCCCTTGACCACCCCAGCAACAGTCTTCTCCCTCCCTTGACCACCCCAGCAGCAGTTTTCTTCCCCCCCCTTGACCACCCCAGCAGCAGTTTTCTTCCCCCCCCCTTGACCACCCCAGCAACAGTCTTCTCCCCCCCCTCGACCACCCCAGCACCAGTCTTCTCCCCCCCCCTTTGACCACCCCAGCACCAGTCTTCCCCCCCCCCTTTGACCACCCCAGCAACAGTCTTCTCCCCCCCCCCTCGACGACCCCAGCACCAGTCTTCTCCCCCCCCCTTGACCACCCCAGCAAGTCTTTCTCCCCCCCTGCCCACCCCAGCAAGTCTTCTCCCCCCCTGCCCACCCCAGCAACAGTCTTCTCCCCCCCCCCTTGACCACCCCAGCAACAGTCTTCTCCTCCCCCCTTGACCACCCCAGCAACAGTCTTCTCCCCCCTTGACCACCCCAGCAACAGTCTTCCCCCCCTTGACCACCCCAGCAACAGTCTTTCCCCCCCCCTTGACCACCCCAGCAACAGTCTTCTCCTCCCCCCTTGACCACCCCAGCAACAGTCTTCTCCCCCCTTGACCACCCCAGCAACAGTCTTCTCCTCCCCCCTTGACCACCCCAGCAACAGTCTTCTCCCCCCCCCCCTTGACCACCCCAGCAACAGTCTTCTCCCCCCCTTGACCACCCCAGCAACAGTCTTCTCCCCCCCCTTGACCACCCCAGCAACAGTCTTCTCCCTCCCTTGACCACCCCAGCAGCAGTTTTCTTCCCCCCCCCCTTGACCACCCCAGCAGCAGTTTTCTTCCCCCCCCCCCTTGACCACCCCAGCAGCAGTCTCCTCCCCCCCCTTGACCACCCCAGCAACAGTCTTCTCCCCCCCCCCTTGACCACCCCAGCAACAGTCTTCTCCCCCCCTTGACCACCCCAGCAGCAGTCTTCTCCCCCCCCCAGACCACCCCAGCAAGTCTTCTCCCCCCCTTGACCACCCCAGCAACAGTCTTCTTCCCCCTTGACCACCCCAGCAACAGTCTTCTCCCCCCCCTTGACCACCCCAGCAACAGTCTTCTCCCCCCCTTGACCACCCCAGCAACAATCTTCTCCCCCCCCCCTTGACCACCCCAGCAACAGCAACAATCTCCCCCCCCCCTTGACCACCCCAGCAACAGTCTTCTCCC